GACCTGAGTTCGAATCCCAGCACTCACATGGTAGCTAACAATTGTCCATAACTCCAGTCCCAGGGGATCCAATAGCCTCTTCTGACTTCCGAGGGCTTTGCACAACATGGGTGCACTTACTTACATGCAGGCAATACACACATACACATAAAATTTTTTTAAAAAATGTGATATTTGTAAGTTTTTAAGGCTCAGGCAGAATGGTACCATGCCTTTAATCCTGGCACACAGGAGCCAGAGACAGGCAGATGTCTGTGAGATGGAGGCCAGCTTGGGATGGTTTACATAGAGTTCCAGGCCAGCTGTGGCTACACAAATGAGACCCTGTCTCAAAAAAAAAAAAAAATTTTTTTTTAAAAAAAGCACACACTGCTCTTCCACAGGATCTGAGTTTAATTCCTAGTTGTGAGGGTGGCTCACAACTGCCTATAACTCCAATTCCTGGGGACCCCAATGTCTCTGGCTTCTGGGGGCCCCTTTCACTCATGTGTACATACCCACACACATACACATTTAAAAACTTGTGTGTGGTTGGGCATGGTGGCGCACGCCTTTAATCCCAGCACTCGGGAGGCAGAGGCAGGCAGATCTTGGAGTTCAACAAAAAAAAAAAGTGTATAGCGTATGTGGTCATATGTGTGTGCATGTTTGTGCACTTATGTGTTAGTGCATATGGAGGTCAGAGGTTGATGTTGGGTGTCTCCCTCAATTGCTCTCCGTCTTTTTATTTACGTTTTTCAAATTTATATTTTTAATTTATTTATTCTTTGGTCTTTTTGTAGTTTTTTTTTTTTTGGTCTTTTTGAGACAGAGTCTCCCAGTAGCCCTGGCTGGCCTGGAACTCACTATGTAGACCAGGCTGGCCTTAAACTCACAGAGATCCACCTCTACCTCCCAAGTGCTGGGATTAATGGCATGTGCCACCATGACCAGCCCCAAATTTATTATTTTTATTTTATGTGTACGAGTGTGGCATATGTATAAGTGCACTGGTATCCTGCAATGCCCAGAGGTCAGAAGAGGACGTTGGATTCTGCTAGAACTGCAGTTATGAATGGTTGTCAGCCACCATGTTGGTACTGGGAATCAAACCCGGGTCCTCTGAAAGACTAGTCAGTGCTCTTAACCACTGAGTCATCTCTTCAGCCCTTATTTTTTATTACATTTATTTTTGTATGTGTTCCATGGCATGTATGTGGAGGTGAGAGGACAAATTGTAGGTGTCAGTCCTCTCTTTCCATCATGTGAGTCCCAGAGGTGGAACTGAGGTCCTCAGGCTTGATGGTAGGTCCCTGTACCTGCTGAGCCACTGCAGAAGTCTACTCTGCCTCTTTTTTTTGTCTTTTTGAGACAGGGTCTCCCTGTAGTCCCAGCTGACCTGAACTCACTATGTAGACCAGGCTCACCTTGAACTCACAAAGATCCGCCTGTTTTGCCTCCCAAGTGCTGGGACTAAAGGCGTATACCACCATGCCTGGCCATACTCTGCCTTTAAAAAAAAAATTATGAGGCCTGGAGATGGCTCAGCAGTACTATTATTTTATGTGTATGAGTGTGTTGTCTGCATGTAAGTGCCCTAGTATCTGGCAATGCCCACGGAGGTCAGAAGAGGACATCAGATTCCCCTAGAACTGGAGTTATGAATGGTTGCCAGCCACCACATGGGTGCTGGGAACTGAACCACATCCTCTGCAAGAGCAGACAGTGCCCTTAACCACTGAGGCAATCTCTCTACTCCCTCTACCTCATTTTTGAGTCACTGAACCTGGAGCGCAATAATTTGGCTAGGATGCTTGCCTGGTCAATCTGAGTCCCTACTGCTGGAATTACAGATGCACACTGCCATACCCAGCTTTCACATGGGTGCTGGGAGCTGAACACAATGTGGCAAACACTTGCCAACTGAGCAACATCCCTATTTTACATTTTTATTTAATTAAATATTTCTGCAGTGCTGTGCATGGAATTCAGGGCTTTGTACATGCTAAACAGTCATTCTGCCACTGAGCTACATTTGAAGCACCTCTTTTATGTTTTATTATTTTTTAGATGGGGTCTCACTATGTTGTCCAGGATAGTTTTGAATTATTTTTATTTTTATTTATTTATTTATTTATTTATTTATTTATTTTTGCTTTTTGAGACAGGGTCTCCTTTATTTATTTATTTATTATTTATTTTTGCTTTTTGAGACAGGGTCTCCTCGTAGCCCCAAGTGGCCTGGAACTCACTATGTAGACCAGGCTGGCTTTGAACTCAGAGATCTGAGATCTGCCTGCCTCTGCCTCCCAAGTGCTGGGATTAAAGGCATGCGCCACCACACCCAGGTTTGCTTGTTTTTTTAATATTTTATTTATTATTTTTATTTTACGTGTATGAGTGTATTGCCTGCATGTATGTGAGTACACCTGTGTCATGCAATGCCGTGGAGGTCAGAAGAGGGCTTTGAATTCCCCTGGAATTGGAGTTAAGGATGGTTTGTAGCCACTCTGTGGGTGCTGGGAATCAAAGCCAGGTCCTCTGCAAGAGCAGTCAGTGCTCTTAACCACTAAGCTGTCTCTCCAGCCCCCAGCTTTTTTTTTTTTTTTTATGTGTATGAGTGTAATGCCTGCATGTATGTAAGTACTGCCAATGTCATGCAATGCCTGCAGAGGTCAGAAGAGTGTGTTGAATTCCCCTGGAACTGGAGTTACAGAGAGTTATTAGGAACCACCAAGTGGGTGATGGGAATCAAACTTGGGTCCTCTGCAAGAGAGGGCAGTGCTTTTAACCACTGAGTCATCTCTCCAGCCCCTGATTTTTTTTTTTTTCTTTTTTTCGACAACCCTGTATTGGGGCTGGAGCTTAACATTGGTTACTGCTCTTCTAGAGGACCTGAGTTTGGTTCCCAGCACCTACATCAGATGACTCACAACTGTCTGTAACTCCAGCTACAGGGGGTCCAACTCCCTCTTCTGGCCTTGGTGGGCACCTGCATTCATGTGCATATAACCATTCACAAGACACAAACACATACCTAAAAATAATAAAAATAAATCTAAAGAAAACCCTTGTGTTTCAGGTATATATTAATACATTCATTGGTGAAATGGCATGTCTAGGATTTGATTGGAAAGATCTGGTCTAAATTAAAAACTGCCTAAGTTGGGCTATGGCTTACACGAAGACACCTTATGGTAATCTTTTACTGCTGTTTCCTTTGTTTGTTTGTTTTCCTCTAGTGTTGGGGGCTGAACCCAGGGCTTTGCACATGCTAAGCACATACTTCGTCAGTGAAATACACTCCAACTCCTTTTTTTTTTTATTATTTTTATTTTATGTGTATTAGTGTATCACCTGCATGTATGTGAGTGCACCCGTGTCATGCAATGCTGTGGAAATCAGAAGAGGGCTTCAGATTCCCCTGGAACTGGAGTTAAGGACGGTTTGTAGCTGCCGCCGTGTTGGTGCTGGGAATCGAGCCCAGGTCCTCTACAAGAGCAGTCAGTGCTCTTAATCACTGAGCCATCTCTCCACCCCGCAAATACCCCATTTGGGCAGACAGATTATTATTTATTATTTATTGGTCTTTTTGAGACAGGGTCTCCCTGCAGCCCCAGCTGGCCGTCCTGGAACTATGTAGACCAGGCTGGCTTTGAACTCAGAGAGATCTGCCTGCCTCTGCCTCCTGAGTGCTGGGATTAAAGGCGTGCGCCACCACTCCCGGGTCTCATTACTTTTTTATTTTATGTGCATGAGTGTATTGCCTGCATGTAGGTAAGTGAATCTGTGTTGTGCAATGCCTGAGGACAGAAGAGGCCATCGGATCCCCTGGAACGAGTTATGGACAGTTGTTAGCTGACATGTGGGTGCTGGGATTCGAACCCAGGTGTTCCTAACTGCTGCGCCATCTCTCCAGCCCCCTTTATTGTTTGTATGTGTATGAGTATATTGCCTGCATGTAAGTGCACCCATGTTGTGCAGCGCCCACAGAGGTCAGAAGAGGGCATCGGATCTCCTGGAACTGCAGTTACAGATGGCTGTTAGCCTCATGCGGATGCTGGGAACCAAATCCTCTCCAAGAACAGACAGTGCTCTTAACTACTGAGTCATCTCTCTAGCCCCTTAATTTTGTTATTTTCTTTGAAAATTTTTCCCTATTGAAAGATAAATCAAAACGTACCATGGGAACACCCTGAGTGTGGTTTCCAGGAGACACCTGCCGGTATGCCTCTGAGCCTGCAGAAAGTGCTGTAGAGTTACTCAAACAGGGGCCATGTCTCCTCTGGTGGGTTTATGTTCAGGGGACATGAAAACAAACAGAACTACTCCAAGACAAAATAGGAAAAGAACAAGAGGATGAAGGGAAAATTCTATGGATATCTTCAGATCCCAATATTTTCAGAGGAGTAGGAATGTGCTTTGTGCTAGTAGTGCTTAAGCAGTGTCTGCCTATGGGTTGAAGTGCTACTTCTAAGACCTACTGGCTGTACGACTGGGCAAGTTACTTGTCTTCTCTATTTGTTTCCTCACCTACAGGGATAATAGTACTAACCTTGAAAGGTTATTCTGATAACTTTGTGTTAATGCCTGACACAGAAGTGCTAAGTGAATGTCCTTACAGTAAGGGTAACAACAGTAACAATGGTGATTAGTAGTATTGCCTCAATTCTCCCCAAATCTGTGGTAAAATGCAGGTGATGATAAAAGAACATCTAAGAAATGTAGAAATGTGATTTCTCTTCTTCAGAGCTCTAGACTAGAAGGCACATCCCACTGTCCTGAGCATTTGCAGAGTCCCAGTCAAGAGAAAGGCTGATGTCTGCTGGACTAACTACTGGTTTTACCTCTAGCCTTACAGACAACATTGAAGAGTGGGGGAACAGATCCTCCATTCTGTAGCACTCTAGGACCTCCCCTTCATAAAGGGGGCACACAGAGAGTGTGGACATAGCAGACCTCAGTGGGAAGTGGGTTTCTTGGACGAGACAGGCAGACCTGCCCAAAGGCCTGTCACCAACCTGTGCTGGACACCGTTTCAGAGGGCTGAAACACAGCAGTGGAGGATGATGGTGGAGAGGCTGTGGAGGAGCTGGCGGACTCCTTCCCTTCTAGGTCAGCCACAGGCAACAGCAGGTTCTGGGCCAGGTGGGTGGGGCTGGCAGGGATGCCATTCTCCAGCAGGAATTCATCCAGGTCCATGTACTCCAGGTGGAAAGACTCGCCATCGTAGGGGATGGTCTTGTCCCAGATGGGTGGCATGAGGGAGGCAGAAACGGCCATGGTGCTGGCTGTCGCCGTCTCATCTTCCTCCAGCTTTTCCTTCCCCTTTTCCTTATCTGCAAACAGAATCTATAATGAGACACCACATAACAACTCATCCCAGGAAGGGGCCGTGAGTCTCAGAGGTGACCTATCTTTCTCAGAGGCCTGTCTCCATCCATACCCCAAATATTTATTTCACAAGTGCACAGTCCTCCAGTTATAACTTGGTGCTTGAACCAGGAAGGCTGGTCTTCTTTAGGGGTGGCAGCACACCCTCCTGTGTGTCTGTCCTTTTTGGAATGCTAACTAAACACTAACTCACTGCTGTGGTCACAGACTTAAGGCAGACTAGGCTCTAGTTAGTATCTATGAGAGGTGACGAGGAAGTAGTTTCTGACCTTTCTGACCTATGTTAGTGTAGAAAAGGCTGAGGTCCTCAGGCCAATAACTTCTGTGTTCTGTCCTGTTCCCTCCAGTCATGTTTCTCCATTGCAACCCAGGACTGCTACCCATTAGCTGTGTGACGTGTGAATTCAGCCATGTTATTTAACCCGAGTCTCAGTGTTTCACTATCAATAAGGATAAAACCACCTCTTTTGTGAAGATCAGAGATAACATTTGGAAATGCCCTGTATGTCACAGAGTATGTGGCACACAGTAGGTATTCATTATTACTGTAAGCTCACTGAGGGCAGGGACAGTGTCTGATTCAGTTCTAGATTTCAGGGGCCAATACAGAGGTGGCTGTGGGAATCTGTATATTGACTGGATAATACTGGATTTACAGAGATTGGATTCAGGTGTCTTTTCAGGCCGTTTTTTCAGAGCGACCAATTCAGGAGACTTTTATCTCTGAATAAGCAGGAAAGACTGGAGGCAGATTCTCTGGGAGGATGGAGTAAGACTGCTCCTATTCAAAGCCAAACTAATCAACTAGTACAGATCAAATCCCACCTAACTGTCTCAGTCAAAAAGTTATGCACATGGATATCCAAGAGAGGGCAATTAAGAAGAAAAAGACAAGCAAAATGTGAAGGAAATTAAAGTGACAAGGAGGCTAATCAGAGACGTGGGAGATGAATCACGACAAGTTCATAATGGGTTTTCAAAATTGAGGGAGACAACTTTAAACTCTAGATTTAGAAGTGGAAAAGAGAAATCAAATATGATTATGTTGGAGGTAAATCAGTCATGCATGGGCTCTTGGACCACAGACAACCAAAAGACAGCCTATTAATGTCCAATGAAAATGGATACCCACAGTGAGTTAAGATGGTGGTGGTTTTGACAAACAGAACTTTTCATGGCTTCTAATATGAATGAACTAGAATTCCTATGACTGCTTCTATGGTAGGCTTTGATTTAAAAATCAACTGGAGGGCCAGGCGTGGTGGCGCACGTCTTTAATCCCAGCACTCGGGAGGCAGAGGCAGGAGGACCTCTGAGTTGAAGGCCAGCCTGGTCTACATAGTGAGTTCCAGGACAGCTGGGGCTACAGGGAGACCCTGCTTCAAAAAGACAAAAATAAATAAATAATAAATAAAAATAAAATTAAAATCAACTGGGAAGTAAAAATTCAAGCCCTTGAGAGCTGGGGACTGCTCTTTTGATTCTACATTCTGTTCAGAAATGACTATCAGTCGGGTGGGGTCATCTGAGATCAAAAGGCAGAAGGGAGGAGATAAAAAGTTACACATTTTTTTTTTTTTTGGTCTTTTTGAGACAGGGTCTCCCTGTAGCCCCAGCTGGCCTGGAACTCACTATGTAGACCAGGCTCGCCTTGAACGCGCAGAGATCCACTAGCTTCTGCCTCCCGAGTGCTGGGATTAAAGGTGTGCACCACCACACCGCCCCGCTGTAAATGCCTCATTTTGTCTGGCCAAGGTAATTAAGACTATTTGGGGGTGGGGAGGAGGGGGAGGGATCTCATGTAAGTCAGGCAGACTTTAAACTGGAACTTTTGATTTTCCTGCCTCTACCTCCCAAGTGCTGGAATTCCAGGCAAGTATCACCATAACTGGTAAGGCTATTTTAATTCAGTGTTTTTGTAAGATGGAGTTTTAAATGAACTGTAAAAGATAAAGAACTGGCATGTCCATCACTCAGATCATAGGTTCTGACACCAGTGGTGGTCAGCTGGGAGGCAGAGGCAGGCAAATCTCTTTGAGTTCAAGGCCAGCCTCATCTACACAGCAAGTTCCAGGCCAGCTAGGATACAGGGGACCCTGTCTCAAAAAAAAAAAGAAAAGAAAAAGAGCCAGCACCAAACTAAGAGCCTTCTAGAAGGCCTACCCATGTGACCTTGGGAAAGCATCCATACCTGAGCCTCAACTTTCCTCAGCTGTAAAGTGGGGACAATACCCTAAACCAGATTATGTCTAAGGGCTTTGCAAGCATATGCCAATGTAAAGTAAAATCACTATTATGGATTGTTATTCTCTGGTAATCTTAAACAAGAGTCTGCCAGCTGTGAACACGTCTTTGCAGTGTGTCTTAATCTCAGATCAGGAGCGAAGCATCATCTTAGTGCAAACAAAAGGCTTTGTGCACAGGAGGTCCTGAAGCAGGAGAGGACTTAACCTCACCAGAGGTGCTGAAGCTATTTGTAACCCAACAGTCACAACCCAAAGGCTAAGCAAAGAACTCCCTGGAGGAAGGCAATTCACAAAAGGCCCACCCCTCCCCAAATACCCTGAATTGCACTGAGCTCCGGGAAATTCAAAGGGCTCAGACTGAAACATCAGACTCACACGTCACTGTACCTAAAACTCCACAATATGTGGCACTCCTGCAGCTGTCTGGAACCTCATCTACCAGGCAAATACCAAGGCCAAACCTCCTTTCCACACAAGACCCCAGGGACCCTTGTGACCTGGACAAAAATCATGAAGCCCAGTCCTGCCACTGTGGTTCCAACCAACCAGGTGACGGGCGTCAGTGGTCTCATGCGGACTCTCATCCCAGCCCAACTTCATGCCCCCCACCCCCAACTTTATAAAGCACCACCAACCCTCATCTCACACTGCCGCCTCCATCTGCACCTTAGCAGCAACCCAGAGACCAAACAGCTGGAAAATCCACTCCCCAGCGAGGAAGATTCGCCCTCTCCCAAGAGGGAGCAAAGAGATGCAAGGCCATCTGCTGTAGAGATCAGCGCTTCTCAAACTTTGGTGGTGGACTCTTGTACCCAACCGGATGCGGTGGAGGGGCTCCGGAAAACCCAGGCTCCTGTCCCACGATCCGCAGACTGGGTGGGACCCGGGAGCAGTCATTTAGGACAAGCAGCATCCCGGACATTCGGATGCAGGCAAACCCAGGAAAGGGGCCCCAGGCGTACCCTCGAAACCCCTCCACGAAAGAACGCCTTCCCACCCTTGCCCTACCCACCCTCTCCCTCCTGACACTTCCTTATTAAGTTCCCCCCGACCTATCCTTTCCAGCTCGCCCCCCTCCCCCAACTTTCTCCGCAACCCCAGGCCCAGTCCTGCAGGCCCCTGGTCATCCCCAGGCCCGCATCATCCCCTGCAGCTGGACAACTTCACCCTGACCTCTGCCCCGCCCCGCTCCCACGAGGCCCCGCCCTATCAGAAACCCCGCCCCCAGACACGCTGACCCGCCCCCCCTCACCCAGGCGCGCCTCGCGCGGGGGGTTCTCCATCAGCTTCTTCAGCACCAGCGGGAAGGAGCCCGACAGGCCCCGCTCCCCCGAAGCACGCCCCGGGCCCGGCCCCGCCTGCGGCTCCACAGGCGGCTTCTTCCCGCCGCCCGCGTCGGACATCGTGCCCCGCGCCCTGCTCGAGCGCCTCGCCTCCCCCGCGCGCACCCTGATGGGGCCGGAGCCGCGCGACCTGCTGCAGCTGCTGACACAGGCGACACTGCGCAGGCGCGCCGCCGCACCCCCGCCTCCCTCCGCCCGCGCCCCACCCGCCGTCTGGCTCCGCCTTTTTCGTTATTCATGAGGCAGGCAGACGGCCCCCGCGGCACGGCTTCTGATTGGTGCATCCCGAGGGAGGGCGGGCACAGCTCCTCGAGCTGGGATTGGCTGCCAGGCCGAGCGAGCGGGACACGTGCGGGGCCAGGTGAGGTGCCCCGCCCCGGGTGCGCGGGCTCAGTTCGCAGGCCTCGAGGGAGACTGGGGGCTCAGTGGCCTTCCTGGTCGGCCGCACCCTACCATCATGGGGACCTCCCCAAGTCTCCGCCAGCCCCCCGCGCGGCGTAACCTTGGGGGGAGGCGGGGCAGTGCGGCCCCGACGGTCACGTGGAGCCGCAGCCGAGTCTGGCAGCGCGGGGAGGGGGCGCGGGGTTGCAGCCAATGGGGCGCGGGGGCGGGGCCGGCGTGGGTGCACGAGGCTCTGCACGTGCGGCTGCGGCGCGGAGGGCGGGGAGCTCAGGAGCGGGGCGGGTGTGGGCTCGGCGGACTCTGTGAACCCCCACTCCCGGTCGAGGGACTCGAACGCGCGGCCCCGCCAGCGCCCTTCCCACGCGACCCGGAGGCTGGCCGAGGGCAGGCAGCCTACGGGAGCGGTGTCAGGTTGCCCGCTGATCTGGGGTTTTGCAGCGGGCGTGGCTGCAGGATAAACACTAGCGTGGAGAGGGCATTCTTGGGAGCGAGCCCTGAGTCGCGGCCAGGTGCACATTTCTGTCCTGCTGGCCGCTCGCTGATGACCTTGGGGATATTGAGTTGCTCCAGCGGAGTCCATTTCCTTAGCCTTAAAACGAAAGAGGTTGGACTAAAGAGTCTGTGCAGTCCAGAAAGGCTCGGAATTATCTTTCCTTTCCAGGACTTTCCCTTCCTTTTCTTAGAACGTAAAAAAAAAAAAATCTTTGCACAAGCTACTCATCTTGCATTTTGATCTCTTAAAATAGTGGTGCCTCCTGGGTTCCTTAGGAAATAGAAGTCCTGGAGAGGTGCATAGATGTAAAGACCTTACAGGGAACTCCTACACAGCGCACCACACTTTCTTTACAAATCATACTCAGCTTCAAACCCAAACACTACTAGACTCTGGGTTTAAACTCCCAAAAGGAACAGGGCCTTGGTTAGTTTGTCCTGTGACCCTCCCCTGGGTCCCTGCACTACATAGGAGGGGCTGGAGCCTGGCAGGATAGCAGTCCTTGGTTCCTGGGGAAGATGGAGAACTCAACACTATAGGTAGCCAAAGTCAAGCAAGAGGTTTGAAAGAGTTTGCCTAATGATAGAGGCAGGATGATGAAACTGTGATGGCAGGTTTTTGCTGCCGCAGTAATTACAAGTTGGTCATTTTCCGAATCTGAGGTCTCCAGCCCACTGCTTGATTTTTCGGGTTCCTTCTACTTACGTGTCAAATGGAGATAAGGCAGACTGCACCATACAGCGTTCCCACGCAAGTACTTAATTGCGTTCCTATTAAAAATGATAGTTTTCCTAGTTTAACTAGAATTGATGGATTTTAATCCATCGTGGGGGAAAGATTAGGCACAGAAAACCCCAGTGTTGCAGAATTGTTAGTGGGAATTATGTACGTGTCTAAGATATGTTTAGGAGAAACTGACCTAGAGGGTTTTAGAAACAAATTTCAAACAGCACTCCTAGGACGTTAAGCACTATATGGAGCTTTTCAAAAAGAGCCTGGGCCTAGGGAGATGGCTCATCAAGTAAAAGGTGCTTGCCAACCACGCCTGATAAATCTGAGTTCTATCCCTTGGTCCTATATGATGGAAGGAGAGAACTGACTCCCACAAATCGTCCTCTGACTTCCACATGTCTATGTGGACGGACACACACACACACACACATACAATACATTTAAAAAAATTTTATGTGTGACTGTCTGAATGTATATGTGTGCACCACATGCGTGCCCAGTGCCTGTGGAGACCATAGGAGGGGGTTAGATCCCCTAGAACTAGAGTAAAGGTGGTCGGGAGCCCCGTTGTGGGTACTGGGAACCAAATCTGGGTCTTCTGCAAGAGTAGCAAGTGGTCTTAACCCCTAAGCCATCTCTCCAGGCTCCCTAAATAAAAAATTTTTTAAGGAAAAAAATAACTCCAGGTATTTTGGCTATGGAGCAGCTTACTGGATTAGATTTAAATGTATATTTTTATGGGTAATTGATTTTTTAAAGATGTATTTGTAAAAAAAATATTTTTTTATGTGTATGAGTGTATTGCCTGCATGTAGGTAGGTACACCTGTGTGATGCAATGCCCACAAAGGTCAGAAGAAGGCATTGGATCCCCTGGACCTGGAGTTATGCAGTTGTTATCCACCCCATGGGTGCTGGGAATCGAACCCGGGTCCTCTGCAAGAGCAGTCAGTGCTCTTAACTACTAAGTCATCTCTCTAGCCCCCAGATTTATTTATTTTTATTTTATGTGTGTTTGTATGTATATATGTGCACCATGTGTGTGCTTGGTTCCTGTGGAGGCCAGGAGGGCTGATCAGATCCCCTGGAACTAGAGTTACATTTAGATGTGAGTTACCTTGGGTCTTGGGAACTGAACCTGGGTCCTCTGCAAGAGCACAAAGTGCTCTTAACTGCCAAGCCATCTCTCTAGCCCCTAATATGAAATTATTGAGAGGGAAAAACAATTCTTCATGGGCAGAGGAGGATATCTACAGAGTGGAACAGCTACCATTCATAGCAAAGATGCAATGTACCAATAAGTAAAGATTCTCTTCTTCCCTCTGCCCTCCTCTCTCTGCCCCTCTTTCTCTCCTCCCCCATCTCTCTCCTGTAGTTACCTCCATGATAATGCCTGTCCTATCCATCAGCCAAGCCTGGAGCAGCTCACCTAATAAGCTAGTGACAAGGTTACATGAAGGTAGCAGGTTGAGACTCAAAAACATAGCTGTGAGTCTGTTCCTTGCTGACACTCCCAGAGAGGGGTTTTCTCTCTGGATAGCTGGAGGGTAGGTAGCATGTCCAAAGTACTCAGAGCATTGCAAGCATGTTCCCTTTATGCCTCATTGCAAGCTCTGAAGGTAGCTACCCTTGCACACTTACAGCAATCAGTGGCACTGGCCTGGAGGCATGCATGTTATCTTCTCTACCACCGACTGACCCAGCTGCCTTTCTCTACTCTGTCTTTTGGGATGCCATGACAATAACTGTGACCTTGTCTCTTCCTGGAGTGGAGGAATAAGTGCTGTGAGAACTGATTTGCTAATTTCTGTAGTGTGTGAGTCCCTCAAAGGGATAGACTCCCTAAGAAGAACAGGTTAGTACCTGCCTTAGACTTTTAAAGTGGCGTCATAGATTCTGATTTTTTGTTTGTTCGATGATGGGGGTGTTATGTACCCATGCTGGCCTCAATATGTAAGGATGCCCTTCAAGTTTTGATCCTCTTGCTGCCACCTCTTGAGTGTGGGGATTACAGGCTTGGATGACCACCTCAGATTTATGCAGTTCTGGGGATCAATCCCAGGGCCTTGTGAATGCTGGGCAAAGCACTCTATCAACTGAGCTATATTTCTAGCCCCTAATGATAGTTTTGCTATTATTTATTTATTTTGCACTTACTTACTGTGTGTGTACACATATGCACATATCATATAACAAACAAGTGTAGAGGCTGACTACTTTTGAGAGTCGCTTCTATCATGTGGGTCCTGTGGATAGAACTCAGGTTGTCAGGTCTGACAGCGAGCACTTTTACCTACTGAGCCATCTTGGCAACCAATAATAGGTTTTTGATACAATGGCCTCCTAAGGGAAGCATGGGGTCTGGGTCATCTCTGATTCTGGACTTGAGAGGCAGACCTGAGGAGACTTTCCTTCAGCCACAGACCAGCTTAAAGCATTGGACAATTGGCTTCTGAGCCTGTTATTTCCCTCTGGGAAATAGATGGAGATTCTGCCTCTGGGTGGTTTTGAGGATTATTTGTGGTAGGTAATGTTAGATGCCCACCTACAGAGTAGTGAGTATGTGAGATGGAATGAGTGGGTATCCACCAAGTTCCTTCCTTCCTTTCCAGGGTGTGTTAGTTCAGGAGTTGCATAGTTTGGGGTGCGATGAGGCTGTGAAGGTAAGGGTGGGTTATAGAGTGTAGCCCAGGGCCAGAATAGGATGAGAAATGTCTGTCAGAACTGGACTAGTTATAAATTCTGTTCTTTTCTGAACTAGAAACCTGCTAATCAGCCAATTAGATAGGCTGCTCGATTGAGATATGCTGAGCAAGTGGTTTTCGTTAGCCGAGGCTCCTTTGATCAGATGCCCCACAGTGATCTCCCCCCACTACTCACAAATCTTAGTAGGCCTGACAAACCCAAACCTGAAATGTGTAAGAATAGGCTGATGTTAAAGGTTCTTCTGAGCTCTAGCAAAACCCAAACTCACTGTCCCTTCCAGTACAAAAGGCAGGTGAGCACAATGCCTTGTTCAGAGTAGTAACTCAGTAAATATTCATTGCCTTGCTTCCTTTGGTTGGTGCTGGTAGGAGTGTTGACAAAATTTCCAGTCGAGTCCCATACACTGGGAATGTTATGAACATGAAATAGCAGTCATGTGTCATGTGCTTGATTTACGGTGGAATCTGGAGGAACAAGCATGAGCCATTCTCAGGGCAAGCCCCCAGCAGCGGCCTCACCACAGCTCTCCCAGCCTGCATACCTGTGGTCTAGGCCTGTGGTTTGTCCTTTGGTCTCAGTGTGTTCCAGGGCAGAAGTGGTGGGTGGAGCCTCTTTTTAAATTCTTGCCTCTCCCTTCCATGCTCTCAAGAGTCCTAATTTCCTATTTGGCTTGGGTTTTATGCACTCTCAGGGTTCGGATCACAGATGACTGCCATCACCACAAAGAACTCCTCCACCACCAGGGTGGAAAACAAGGCTCTGGGGTCCTTGGGGAGGAAGGAAGGAAAGAGGCTACTCACCTATTGGCCCTGAGGCGGCCAAGCTCTC